GGGGTGGAGTATTGATCAGGGATCCAAAAGATGGTAGTAAGTGGAAAGGCAGTGGCAAAGACACTCCTGCTCTAACCTCTGCTGGGGGAGTAACCATGTCTTCCACCCACACCACCCTAGCTGTGCTTACCCAGCACGAGGAAGGACAGGACCCATTGTAGCACTGAGATGACCTGTAGCTGCTTTTCCACCTTGGATCTGTTGAGCCAGGTGACAGAGAAGATGTCCTGGAGGGCCGAGAGGATGCTGGAGCCAGTGCCTGCAGGAGAAGGAAATGTCAGCTTATGATCAGCCTGCCCTCCAGCCTCAGGGCCTCAACACAACCCACCTCCCAAAGGTGCCTTCTTAGTCATGTGGACATGGGCCACAGAATCACAAACACCCAAGTTCAGACCTCACTCTGCTTCCTAATGACTGCTTACAGACTTCCCTGTGTATAGAACATGGAAACATGGCAATGGTGTCCCTTTCACAGGGGATAACTTGGAGACCAAATACAGTATAGAAAAGAGCTGGCCCTGGAGCTGGGCCTTGGAGAGGCCAGCTCTCTTCTCTCCCCTCTGCTCTAAACATCTGCTATCCTTTATCTGGATCTAGCACAAATATTTAATCTTTGCTATCTGTGTCTGTGAGGTCAAGGACAGAAGTTCAACATGCAATTTACGTTTCACTTTGTTTTTTGTCCAAATGTACTTTGTGCATCCCCACTCCCTGCCCTTCTCCCTTTACTCTAGACACCCTTTTCCCCATTGAGTTGACTGTCTCACCTCAACACAAATCCTACATTAGCACCATCTTCAGAGATTTATATTCATCCTCTTTGCAGTGTCCAAACCTTGGAGCCCAGAGAGGATCCAGGTGGTGTCTTGCTTTCCCAAAGTAAGTCAGGGGGCTATGTGCCCCACCACTCCAGATAGGACTCCAGGCTAGTGGTTGGAACAGCATTTAAGAAAGGGTACATAGGGCACAGGGCGGCACCTTATCTAGGGCTGTTTGCTTCCAAGCAAGCGCCAAGTCTAGAAATGAGGATGAAATGTGCCCATTAATTGGCTCAGTGGTTGTGCCCCCAGGATGATTCCTGGGCTCCAGTAGCTGACAGGCAGTGTAGACAGTAAATCTGGTGACTGCAACAGAAGTGGCACTGGCAAAGAGCATGGGTAGACCCCTAATAGCACTCCTCTAACCCTAGACTAAAGTTGAAGCCACTTTGCACCCCAACTCTGCTGAGCCCAGCTGTGTCCCTTTGCACAGCACATCTTTACTGAGTGTCTATTGTCTGCTGCCGAAACATTCCTTCCTACCACCCACTCAGTGAGGTCCAGCATAAATGACTTGACCACAGTCGTGTCTTTGAGGGTCTCCTGATTGCTCACCCTGGCCTATAAGCTGGGAGCAGGGAAAGAGGCAGGCCCTGGGGGGGGCGGGGCAGGCTCACACTCAAGCCTTAGTTTTCTGTCAAAATTGGTAGCAGCAAGGTCACAGCAAAGTTCAGAAGGGAAAATACCTCTCCTCAGCTGAAAGTTCACAATCCCTTTGACCTTCAGGTCTCAGTAGAAAATGTCATACTTCAAGATGGATACACTAGTCTGGCCACCTTTATCTGGTGGTCTGATAGATCAGTGGGAGGCGGCCTGGTACTAGAGAGGCAAACCCTTGGTTCCTCACTATATGACCCCAGGCAATAGTACCAGGATCACTGCCAGTGCACAGCACATACTGGGTGCTCAGTAGCATCTAATGCTCCAGAGGCATGATGGGGTAAACTCAGAAAAGCAAGGGTCCCATAGCCATTCCAGAACATTAAGTCTTTTTCTACTTCATCCCTTCTGTAAGCGTGGTATCATTTTAGGTCCTTTCCCACCAAGAGACCTGCCCCTGAGCTTCCATCCACAGCCTGAGAACCCTCCAGGGTCATGCAGGGTCATGCCTTAAGGAGAAAGTAAGGAACCCGGGATTTCTGCCCCTGTGCTCTGTGTGCCTCTTTCCCCACAGCAGTTGCTGACTGCAAAGGACTCTGCCCATGGGACACAGCAAGTTCAAGAGTGAACCATGTTCAGGTCTTGGTGTATCTGTCCATCAATAGAGCCCAAACAAATGACTTAGTCACAATTATATCCTTAAGGGTCTCTTGACTTTTCACTCTGCTACATGTGGGGACATGTCTCAGTGAGTATATGCAGGAGGGTTGAATAAGCCTCCAAGAGTCAGCCTAAACTCCTGACCCAAGACTGGTTGGCATGTCACCTGCCAGCAACCAGGGCCTCAAGGGCTAAGTTAAGGGTAGGTGGGTCCTTACTCCATCAGGGCAAAGTAGGTGTGCTTCTGGAGAGAAGACAAAAGGTGTTGTAGCACTTTCCTATTCAAAGCATGATCTATGACATAGCATCATATCGCCTGTGAGCAGATTAGAAATGCAAGGATCCGCTGAGTCAGTTCTGTAGTTGACAAGACTCCCGCCTCCCCGCCCCCAGGTGACTAAATCCGAGAAACATAACTATAAGTGTTTCAGTCTCAGGTAAAAATTGTTCCTCTACTTAATCCTAATCCCCCTAATCTTATTAAACTGCTTATAAGTAGACAGAGAACAGCATCTTACCTTGTTCAATCCTTACTCCATCATACAGACAAAACCAAGGGTCTGGGGACTCCGTAAGCCCATATCCAGCCAGGTCAGGTCCTAGGAGCTTTTCCCACCAGCCCATTCTGTTCTCATCCAGCCTCACTGGGCCCCAACTATCACCTACTCCACTTGCCCTGCCAGGCAAGTGGGAATGCAGCATTTCTCTGGGAGGTACTGGCAGATTCCTGGAGAGGCTGGGGGAGGTCTGAAGCTCCACATTCCTCAGGCCTAGGCTTACTCCCACAATCACCACCTGGCTGGCCTGTCCCCCTGAGCTCAGGCCCCAGTGGAAGTCCCAAGGGGCCTAGGAGACAGTGAGTCACTGCTCCTCTGCTTAGAGGCCCCTCCCTGCTCTGACATCCAGTGATTTCCTGATGAGATAAAGCCTGTCTTCCCAAGCCTGGAGAGGGCAGCAGCCCTCCAGAAAACCTCTGCAGAGACACCGTCCTTCCTTCTCCGGGGTCTCTAAGGACCCCTTTAAGCCTGAACTGTCAGGGGCCCTCTTACTATACCAGGGAGCTTTTCTGTTTGACGTGAAGTTAGAAGAGGGCAGCACAGGACAGAGAAGACAGTTCATGTCAGTTCCCTAGCCCCTTCCCTGTGCAAACTACCCAGTTCAAGTTGATTGTCACATGGGACTAGAAGCTACCTGAAGCTAGGCCAGGTCTGATCCACATCTGGGTCCCCAGTACCGTGATAGGATGGGAATACAGAGAAGCACTCAGCAAGGTGTGCTGGGAGGAAGATGAAGTCTATGCTCTAGCCATTCCTCAGAAGCCCACTGGTAACATGTCTCACCCAAAACTGAGATAAAATGAAAGTAGTTCCTCTGCTTAATTGCTATTCCCCCAATCTTCCTTCCATGCAGGGCAGCGTGACAAGAATGATGCCTGCGACACCCTCAAAGTTCTGGCCTTTCGAAGTGTCTACATAGGCACTGACTCCTGGCAGTCTGCCATCACCATGCCCATTTTGATGGTAACACATGGCCAGGGCTGCTCAGCCACAGTGTGGAAGAACTGGACTCAATTCAGGACCAACTTCAGGCCTACGTCTGCTCCAAGTTGCTGGTCTCAAGTTCATTTTCTTTTCTTACCACAAGGATGCTGGGGGCGGGGGCATGGAGGGGTGCTGGGAGGAGATGTGAAATGAATCCTCTGCTTTTGTTCAGAGGGGAGGTCAGGAGCAGGTTTGTTTTTTCAACTGGTTATCCTTGGTTGAGTCTCATTATATAGCTCAGGATGGCCTGGAACCTACCATGTAGCTCAGGCTGGCTTCAAACTTGCAATCCTCCTGCCTCAGCCTCTGGTATGTTGGAATAACAGGTGTGCTCCACCATGCCCAAGACAGCAGGCTTCTTTTTTTTTTTAACTTATTTTTATGTGTATGAGTGTTATGCCTACATGTGTTAATACATCCATGTCATGCAGTGCCTGCAGAGAACAGAAGAGGGCATCAGGTCCCCTGGAACTGGAGTTATGGATGGTTGTTAGCCGCCATTTGGGTGCTGGGATTCGAACCTGGATTTTCTTAACTTGCTCTTAACTGCTGAGCCATCTCTCTAGCCCATGAGAGCAGGCTTCTTAAGCAACAGACCTCAGGGTTCCAGTCCCAGCTCTGCCACCAACACCAACTTGGGCCAAGTGGCTTTCTCTCTCTGGAGTTCAGTTTTCCCATCTCTAAAATGGAGCAGGGAAGATGAAGTCCATGGTCCACAGTGTCCACCTTTTGGCCAGAATTCAGGCCCTAAAGTTCACCAGCAGGCAGCAGCCCTCGGACAGTCACCTGGAGAACCCGGAAGTGAGGGTTCAGCTGGGTACCCCCAGCCCTTGCCATCCAGTTGTCAGCACTTGCTCTACTCCAGCTTAGCTGGCAGGAGTCCAGAAGAAGCTGCTGGGGATGCCAATGCTGCAATTGAATGCCACCATCTTCACAACCACCCTGACTGCTTCTGACTCCTGGGTGGGGCAGCAGGGAGTCTCAGCATCCTAAGCCTAGCAACTGTGGACTTCCTCGTCACTGGGCCTCCTTGGCCATACCTACTCTCTCTGCTGTTCCCCACACTAGTCCCACTACAGTCAATGTAGATTTACTTGGCCATTCCCCTCTCCAAATGGCTTGTGGGCACCAAGGCTGGACCTGATTCATTTGCACAGAACTTTGTATGGTGTCTGACAAGAAAAGGAGCCCACAGAGTTTTGCTGCATGGCTGAAGAAATCCACAAGTCCAGAGGCAGAAAAGGCTAAATGCCCAAGTTGGACTGGGCTGCCTTCAGGAAGAAAAGCCAGTCTAATCATCAAAAACATTGGAGCCCCTTTTGCCTTCCAGAAGCACAAGTTCCCCACGTATGACAGGAACAGAACCTCCTACCTGCAGACAGCCCCTTTCACAGGAAGACACAAGACCACTGTGGAGCAAAAAGACTAGTCTATGAAGGAAAGGCTCCACAGCCATTCAGGTAGCTGCTCCTGAGCACCAGTTCCTGCACACGGCTCACCTGCTCCCCCATATCTGGAGGACAGAGAGAAGAGGGATTCAGGAGAGGCCCAGAACAGCTTTCTTACCATCCAGAAAAATATCCCCTCTCCATAGTCTATGACATGTTACTATCCCACAGCATTCCCTAGGAGGGCAGACA